TCCAGGGATGCTGCAGGCTGCCATGCAATGGGCCGGTGCTTCTCGGTAGTATGCTACGACAGTACTAGCTGGTGTGGTGTAGTGTCTGAGCTGTCGTAGGCTGGGTACCTTGATGGTTGGGGACATGCAATCCGATAAGGACGCTGCCGAAGGTGCTGGTGTAATCTTCCGCTGGGCTCCTGAGTTCTTCATAAAGGGTATCGAGCTCCCGCAAATTGCTGATGTGGGAACTATAGTCGATGAGAAGTTCTCATCGGCAAGCCTCTGAAAATGCCTTTGTAATTGGTGAATACATGTTGGGTTTACATTACAGCTGTTCGCTAGGTTGGATCCACCAGGGGATAGTAAAATAATAGGATTCGGTTGATGAAGCATAGAGGGTTGTGACTCGCCTCCGCTGTCGTCTTCTATGTCTGCATCGTTCTTGGGCTCCTTCGGTCCTACTCTAAATTTCGACTCGGACCGTTTTTCAACGATCCAGAGCAAGTCAGACGTTCTAGATGGATTAGAGATTGATCGTAGCCCAGGGGGCACCATCATTTCGATGCCTGTCATTGTCGAGGGAGGCGGTGGATTCAGCGCGATGGAACAGGGAATAACCTTAAGGTAGATGTTGCGGGAAAATAGTGGATTCTGGTTCTTTGTTATCATACATGATAACAAAGGCAATAGAGGCACGTTTAGATGAGTGCATATGCTGTGTGATTCAATCATGTGGTGAGGATGAGTCTTGAATATTTTATCGGCTTTGGCCAAGAAGCAAACTTCTCGGGCTTCGTATCAATGCGGATTATCTGCTCTACTATTCCATTATTTCTCGTCGTTTTTTCAGGTCATTTTTCATGACGGCTCTCAACGCGATGATAACGTTAGGTTTCTCGATCCCATTTGTGTTTACCACCGCTGGCTGGCTAGCAATGGTATTCCAGGTTGTCACCGGTGCGGCAATTTTTATATGTATTTTACTTGTCAAGGCTTGCTTCGACAACCCTGAGGTACCGCCAATGCGTTGTACGGTGACGGAGAGCTGTCCCGACTGTGATTACTGGATCTTCGAATATTGCGTGTTAGATTAAGAGATATGGCGAAGAACATCGTGTGCCCGTCTTCGAGAGAGAATACGCTTTCCTGGCTGGTTATTGTGGAGGCATAGTCGGCCGAACAGTCGTTACAATGGTAAACACTTCGCTTTGGTATCTCTGATAGTCCGTAGCGTCTGACCACATCACGGGAAGCCTCGCACGGCTACCTAATGTTACACATCTCGTAGGGTGCCTGCCATTTGCATGACATGCTAATCACCGTCTGTTATTCATCCCAGGTCGTGTCTCTGGAGTTCTTCCTCACATCGGCAGCTAGTACTATCGCTATTGGTACATGCGCTAATGTATTAATCAGAAATCTCAGCAGTAGGTGAAGTATATTACCAATGATACGGCTTGCTCTCTGTCAGTCGAGTTGTGGATCATCGTGTCTGCTGCATTATGGTTGACTGTCGTTCTACTACCTTGCTTCGACAAGATCTCTTACGTGCTGGGCATTGCAGGAGCTTTCGGAGCGGTGCTTGGAAGCCTACTTTGGGTAAGCCCTGTCACGCTTGGTGTTGCTGAAGAATTCTCGTATCTACGGTGTCGGAGAGGTCCCTTCACACTTTGGCCTATGTTCCAGGATTACCACGCTTTATCGAGAATTGATATATATTCGAGCTAAATATCGGCAATTGTCACTGTATGATTATTATCCATATCACTATTGAATAGTGATATGGATGGTAATCATACTGGGGTTCCTCCAGGTCGCATCTTCCATCATGATCCTACCTGATACGCACATCGAGGCTAATCTCATCCCTAGAGCACCCTATGCTTCAAATCTCATCACGGCACTTGGGATAGCCATATTCTCTTCTGGTGCAGCACCGTCTCTGCCACCTTTCTATGGTGTTGTTAGGAGTAATATTGGATATTCTTATCTCGTCAATGGACATTATATCCATCATTTCCCTATCAGATGCTACTCCCCAACATATCAATCTCTGCATCCTCGTCGCACAGATAGTCTCTGTGCTGTATGTATTCATGTTGGGTATCGCCGGTATGCAGTTATGTGATGGAGCGTGTGGGCAATTCTACATCGTCACGTTACTGGGTGACACGTATCATAATCTATGTCCCAACATATGTGCATTTTTAGACTATCCATCAAGCGTTATCCCAGCTTGGTTCATGTATTGGCTTGTGACGGTCCAATTAATCCGTATTTCAGCAGCTAGCTGTGTATACCTCGTGCCGATCGTAGTCAGCAGTGAAAGAATGATCTTATCGCTTATGGTAGTAGTGCGCTAGAGTCGTCGTTCATGGCTTCATGGGCTAGACAGCTGTTGAGACACCGCGATGCTTACT